AATAACCTAAAATGTGGAAATCAGCTAGTGAATTAATTATCACCTTTGTTGTCTGGAAATTAGATTTGCATCTTAAAAGGAAGGTGTAAATTTGCTAATTTGTTTAAATGGGAAAAAAGAAGTGGGTATAAACTTGACATACCACCTTTGTTTTGCAACTGGTACTGCTAACTGCAGGTAACTCAGCCCCCGGTCACACAGGCCGGATATCGCGGGGGGGGAGGCGTGGCTAATTGCCCCGGCTCAGTTTGATGCGCGATTACGCAATCAGATGCGCCGGCGGCACACCACAGGTCCTTCCCTCAGTGCCGGCGGGTAAACAAGGGACCGATCACACCACGGGCGTCTGGAGGCAGCCCGTGGCAAACGTTTACTAGTACCTTGGAGGTACTAGTTTTTTAAGGCACATTGTTGGCGGTAAGCCATGGGTGCGCTCCACTTCCCAGATGTTGGGGTGTGATAGCGCCCGGATAATCCACCCACCATCCGTGCCTCTCCCGTGGCAACTTTGTCATGTGACCGGGGCCTCAATATGTCTACAGTAAGACACAGTCCTTAAGGGCAGGGTAACGTGCGCAGTAATCTGCTCCTGACATGGAAGTGATCTTTGGTTCTATCTGCATCTATCCTTAATTTATTTTAAATAATAAACCACGTCGCATAGGGAGGCCACCAGATAACACAGGCTTGCATCCTACCACTGCACTAATGCAAGTGTAAAGCCATCCTACAATTCCCTCTGATAGAAGAGGCTTCTTTTGTTGCAGGAAGGCTCCTTAGACAGTAGAAAGGCTTCGTGCCTCTCCTTATTTTGTTGGAGGAAGGCTTGTTGGGCAGTAGAAAGGCTTTGAAGTTGGCTATGTGGAGTGGTGGGATACAAGCCAATGTACTTAGCTGGAGCAAGATCCGGCCACCAAGATTTTGATGAAAACATAGATATAGGCCTATTCCGCACAAACAGCTTACTTGCAGATTTTCCGAGTAGTCGAGTTCTTAAACTTGACTTTGGATTCTATGCCTGCGTTATGCACCATTCTTTTTTCTCCAGTGTATTTATTCTGCAGCTACAACCCCCCCCCCACACACACTTTTCTTAAATGGGTTGGGAACATCACTTGTGTTGTGTGGGGCCCAAAGGTGTTTTTTAAAAAATAAATCTTTACGCAATTGCCCTACTGTAACATCAAGTAAGGGCCTTCCATTTAAATCCCCCTGGTTCTGTATCTTGCTCTTGCCTTTTAGGGTTAGTTTGTTGAATGAAAGAGAATACAAACAGGGAGGGGGGGAAAACCTCTTGAAACTGACCAGACTATTTTGAAATTGACAAGTGGAGCTGCAATGTCCCATTTTCCTCATTGCCAAACACTAGGGGATTCTCTGCTGTGTTATTGTCCACTGGGGAAAATGGGAAAGAATCACACAGTCTCATAAAGCACAATCACAACAATCTCAAGCAACTGGGGGGAGGGTTACAAGCTCTGTTGGAGAAAATGGAAAGGAAACACAAAGGAACCCTGGCAAAGGGGGGGGAACCCCTCTTGAAACTGACCAGCGTTTGGAACAGACAAGGCAGCAGCAAAGCCTTTTAAGAAGCCCGAAAGACCCGGCTGCAGGGCCAGCGGGATCGGCTGGGAGAGGGGCTTACAAACTCCTTCCCCTTCCCCTCCCCACAACAGAGCCACCCTGTGAGGGAGGTGGGGCTGAGAGAGCTCTTGACAGAAACTGCTCTTTTTCAAGAAATGCTCTTATCAGAACTACAGCTTGCCCAAGGTCATCCAGCAGGTGCAAGTGGAGGAGTGGGGAATCAAACCCGGTTCTCCCTTCACTACCCAAAGGAGTCTCAGAGCGGCTTACGAACTCCTTCCCCTTCCCCTCCCCACAACAGACACCCTGTGAGGGAGGTGGGGCTGAGAGAGCTCTTGACAGAAACTGCCCTTTCAAGGACACCTCTGACAGAAACAAAAGAGACGGAAGGCACAGGAAGAACAATCCCAGGGAGCCCCGGTCCCGATCATTTCTGAAGAAATGCACACCCCTTGGAATGCAATTCAAGCAGCAGTGGGCCCCACAAGCTCCTCGTCTGGCTCGGCTTTTCTGAGGCTTTTCTGAGGAAGGTTCCTGGTGAAGGGCTGTGGCTGGCGAGGGGGGGGCACAGAGAGCACCGGGCTCACCTGCTGGGGGCTGGGAACAGAGTAGCACCAAAGGGAAGAAAACAAATGCAGAAACAAACCCCCTCCCCCCGTTCATGGATGCTGCAGGTGGTGCACTTCTGTCAGTGAAACAAAGGCATTTTTTAAATGCAGAATTAATTTGGGTTTCCTGTTTATTTACCTGAATCCCAATATCATACCGCTTCACAGGAGAACTTCCTATTGGAGCGAGAGTTTTGCTTTTGAAAGAAAAGAGAGCTACAGACTAAACAGATCCCCACCACCACCACCAGTTTTTATATGTGTTGCCTTATGTAAACTATCCCTTGGGATAAGATAAGTAGATAGCACTTGCCTCTCATTCACCAAAATACATAATTTACCTTCAACGTTAACTAATTATTCAAACCAAAATAAAGTTTTGGGGCCCTGATCAAAGAAGAGGCTGATTAATTGGGCAAAGTTTAGGGGGAATCTCACGCACTGTGAGTCCCAGAGAAGCTCAGGAAGCCACGGGACATCTTGTGGCAGAGGACATGCAGAAGTGGAATCTCGAGCTTTTCCCACCATAAAGAACAATGGAGGGGATGGGGGCAACCTGTTTGGGGGCCCGTAGAATTGGACCCCCTGGTTCAATGTTCCTGAAACATGGCGGGTATCTTGGGGAGAGGCTCCAGCAGCTACCCTGTGACTTTGGAGCCTCTCCCTCAAACCCCCTCCCCTCCAGCCCCCAGAATATACCCTATGTTTTTGCCATTGACTTCAATAGCCCATAGGATATAATGGGGCCGAACTGCGGGAAGCCAATTCAGATCAGAGAATCTGATTCGGCCCGCAGCGGCCTGAAAGGAGCCCGAATGGCTCATTTTCGGGGGTGCGTTCGGTTCAGACGAACCAAATGCACATCCCTCCAGCAGCCAGCTTGCTCGGGCTCTCTGCAGCCGCGGGGATCCTGAGCAAGCCAAGGGAAGGGAAGATGGTTTAAACCGCCTCTCCTTCCCTCCAGCAGCCGGCTTGCTCGGGCTCCCCGAGCAAACCAAGGGAAGGGAAGGTGGTGGAGCAGCTGGAGACATTGAGCCTCAGCTCCACAAGTAATGAGCACTCAAGCCCCACCCCCAGCAACCCTCAGGCCGGAGCACCTGGAGCAGTCTTGGGAGGCGGATTGGCAAAAAGCAAAACCAAAAGCGCAGGAACTCGAGAGACCACCAGGAATGAAGCCGGTTCCTCTTCCACAGCCCAAAATGCGACCCACGAACCCTGAGCTTGCTTTTTCTCATTTGCGAGTCTGGCCTCCGCACTCCTTTAACGTGGCAGCCCTGAAGCTTGGGGCAGCGTGAGTTTCTTTGCACTCAGCTTGTGCGGCTGGCTGAGTGCCTCTTCTGCTTGCCCACATCTCGCCTCGGCACCTCATCTTCTGCCAGGCATGGAGGAGCCCAGCTCGCCCAGGCTTCTTGCCTCCTGCTGCCTTGGCTCTCTGG